CCATCGGGACTTGCTTTTCCTTTTCCTAGAGGTGATTAAAATAATGAAGTTTAGTTGTTTGCAAATGTTGTTCTGTTCAACTTTAATTTCCATTTTTGAGCAAATGGTTCTTCATTTATAAAATAAGCAACTTTTTAGCAGCAACCCCCTTATTTACATTTTTTTCTTCCACGTCAATTATCCTACTTGTCCCTTGATCTGGTTTCCCCTCATTTAGATTTGTTTTGTTGATAATGATGCTAACAGCTTCAGCTTCGTTGATTCCAGGGTCAATCTGAAAATGGAAAAGCTCCTTGGCAAGGGGTATGTAAGCTGTTACTTGTTCGGTTTCCATTTCAACCTTTCTGTATATTTTTTTATTGAGGCCTTTTCTTTGTCCTTCGTTTTTTTTGCAAAAGTCAACTCTGAAAGCTTCTTCATCCAATTTTATGGTAATCTGAGTTATTCTATATCACCTACATTCTAACAATCATGTTTAAATTAGGATTCATAGGTCTTATATCTGCACTCTGTTTGAATTGCATGATTTTGCATTGAACTGAATTTCATTAGATTTGTCCAAACGTCAAGTAACTAGCTTGAATTCTTTTCTATCTAATTTGGTAGGTAAGAGAGAGGTGCAGAAGTGAGTGGGTGCAGTTTCAAGATCGCCTAGCCAATGCAGATAAGAAATATATTGAACAGTTTGGGAGGACTTTGAATTAGCTAATTTCTGGTTATTACCCGTAACTTTCTTCATTTTCTTTTGTCCTTTTTCCATCTTTGTATCATTGTACGGAAGGGTGTTTTGGAGCCCAATTCTCTCACTCGATGTCTTTAAAATTTTTTTTTTTTTGCTTCTAGCGGGCGGTAGCTGAACTTCCTGTAGTAGTGAAAACTAACGATCTGAAACTGGAAGAGAGTGATCCTTTTTTGTGTATAAATAGATTAGACTTTGCTTCATTTGACTCCCATATTGCCAATATTCATTTCCTTTTCTTTCTTTTTTCTTTTCCTTCTATTTTTTTTCGCCCTTTTTTGCCCTTTTCTATTTTCTTGAGACGGGGAGGTGTGGGTGGGAATCCGTTGGTTGCCTCATACTGAACTCACCCGCTTACAGTTGTTATTTGGAGAACCATCCCCTGTTACCACTTTATTGAGCTTATTACCATCAGTAGTGGGATTATATGAGTTGGAGTACTTACCTACTTTATGTTTAATATTTCACTATTAAGTTGCGAATTTGGAGACGGAATTTCTGTTATATGCCAAATTTCTAATATTCTGGGTATCTCTTTTGCAGGAACGAGGTATTTGAACAACAGAAAGTTTTGTATCCTTCTAAGTTTTCTTGCATTTGGGTATTGATACTACTCACCTTTATTGCTCTGACTCCTATTTCTTTGCACAAGTTCCCTTTGACCTGCAATGCTTCTTTACTTTTTTTTTCTCTTAACTTCTTGTAGCTCTGATTGGAAAAGAAATATAGAGACATTGGAGAAAATAGTGTAACCAGTCTGAGGACATTGATCAATCTTGGTTCTGAAGTGTACATGCAAGCTGATGTGTATGTCTCTTCATACCATATCAATGTCATTTTACTTGGTTGTTCATAGGATTAGTATACATTTGAAGTGTTTATCAAGATATGAAAGAATTCATTTCTTTTTTGTTTGAGGTGTGTGTGATTTATTATAACTATATATGTTTGTGTCTGCCTATGCACTGAAAAAAAAAAGAAAGTATATGGTACCTTAGTTGTTCCAAGTATGTCTTCAGCTATGGTGAACAAAGTGTTGTAGGTTCTTTGGGCTACGAGCTTGGGTTTTGGTAGTCTCAGTACCAGATGGAATCATGTTAGATTGATATAGGGTGCAAGAGAAGTGTTCTTTACTTGATGTGATGGTGCTTACTGTAAACAAATATGAGAGATAATTGCAGAAACAAGGCAAAAACAATCAATTATGGGGACAGTTCAAAACTTTAACAGCTTACGAATAAGCGATCGAACCTGAATTTATCTTTCCTGATTTCCAATTTTCAACTCTAGATATTCCCCAGGCAATCACGACCTTCAAGCTTCTCATCATAACTATGCGTCTTTAGGAAACATCTGTTTTTTTGAACTTGATAAGTGGAGCCGATCCATGTATTCTTAAGGTAGCTATGTCAATGATTGAGTTGGAATGGAACAAACAAAAGAGAATGATTTATAATGTCAATGTATCCATGAATGATTTATAAGCCTATGTGCTTGATTTATCAACTCTAGATATATTGAGTGATTGAGTTGGATCTATTACAATTATCTATTGATTGAATACCTTGAGCTTTTTGCCAAAATCTGTCTCAAAACTGATTTTGATTTGTAGCTATGGTACATTTGCTACTTGAGGTTGTGATGGTTATGTTGATGTGTGGGATGGAAACAATAAAAAAAGGCTGTACCAGTTATTTTTCCTTAATTGAATTTGAAATGTCTTCCGCTCCATGACAACATTTGTCAGTTTTTTATCATACTTGTTATATTTGTCAAAACAAGGGTTCTTTTTTTTTTTTTTTGTTTTTTGCCTCTGAATTTGAGATTATGATTTCTTTGTTATACTAACTTATTCTATTGTTCGTGGAAATTTATTACTTTAGCTCATTTTTCTGAAAGTGATCAATTGGAATGCTAAAGCAAGATGAATTGTATTAGAGACTTCTTTTTGTTTCAGACTTTGACAAATGCTGTTTTATATCCTGTAAATGATGTTCTTCTGTGTTTGGTTCTTTCTGCGAGATGTTACTTTTGCTTCGGTGTGTTGTGTATAAAGGCATCTTCATAAGTTACTTGTGTGAGTGCTGTTTTGAATGATTACACTTATTCTTCTTGAATGATTTTGAATGCTTTTGACTGAATAAATAGTGTGTGCAGACTAGGAATTCATTGGTTATTTTGAATGATTTTGAATGCTTCTAATTTTTTGCTGCAGAATTCTGAACTGACTGCTCATGTGGCCAAGCAGTAAAGAGGAAGGAATCTGCTGTCCTATGTTAGGCATTGTCGTTTGATTATGAGTGCAGTTTCATTGGATGTTTTTTAGTTAATGTGTATTATGTAGTTATAGTTGTTAGAGGACTCAAGCACAGAAATTCTGTAATAGCTAGGTTGTTGCCATTTCAGTTTGTTGCCATTCTGTAATAGCTAGGTATGTATTGATCATATAATTTCTGAAGCATTCTTGATGGGAGAAAAAGACTTTGGGGTAAAGAATCAAGAAATCATATAGAGAACAAAGTTGAAATTAATGTAAGACGAGACCATACAGCTTTCCTAAGATTGATTCTTTATTTGGTTCATTATTTCTGAAATAAGTTAAATTCTTTGACCACCTTTTTTTTGCACATTACTTATTCATTTTTTTGTGTTCATCCTAGATTAGATTAATAGTTTAAATATACTTTCCACAGTAATTAATTTATAATCAGTTCCACAATTTAGGTCTTGGTTTTCTTTTTATGACGTTGGTATAATAACCTATAAAAATGTTGGGTATATCATAATTGTTAATGTGTCTAAAACAAAATGACTTCTTATATACAAAACAATTAATGTCATTCTTATATACAAAACAACTAATGTCATTTTTAGTGTGAAATGTCTTATTGAATTTCACTTTGTGTATTTCAAGCTTCTCTGGCCTCCAAAGACGAAAATTCGCTGAGAAGACAAGAGCAACAGCCGTGATGAAAGGATTGTTTTACTACCATTACTTCCTTACAAGGACTAAGGACAATTCATGAGGTCCTAGAATCCGGTATTTATTACTACCATTATATATATATTTTTTGCTTAGACGGTATTTATTATGGCTGATATGGTTTCTTTTGTTACTTTATAAACAGATCATGAAATCTCAGAATCAGTTCTCCATCGTATTGTCTCATCTATGAATCCATTCCTAAAACATGACTGGACTACATTCAATTGCTTCTATCAATTTTATCTATCAAAGTACAAGTACAAGCTGGTATAGTTTTGCATTCTCTAACCTTATTAACTCTCTTTCTTTTGTACATATGTGTATTTACTTATCACAATTTTTTTTCATACATTTATAGGATCTACCAGAATTTGCGAATCTAAGGCTAAATGAAGATAGTACGACGACTATAACTCTTACAAATAGTCATAAATATTATCATGTTGGTATGACCGGCAGATGTTTTGATCAAAACTGGAACCGTTTTGTTATTGATCATGATCTAAAAAATGGCCAGATATTGCTTTTTATTCCACAATCCAAGACTCCCTTTGTTGTGCTGGTGTTTGACCGCAAAGGAATAGAGAAGTTGTTTCTATGGCAGTTTGCATTTTCCATTTGATGGCACATCTGATTTACGTTGATTCTGCTTCAACGCAATGCACGGCATTTGTTGTATTTATGTTCTTAATGGAAAAAAGTTCTGGTTAGAAAAATGCTTCCAAAGCACTGCAAATTTAATGTTTAGCAAGTTCCTACTGTTGTAAACAACAATTGAAGCTTTCATAATGGATGTTCCAACGGCATTACTTATTAAACTTTGATGTTTAGCAATAAAGTTGATCCTACCTTTGGTTACAAAAAACAAATGGCTGGTATATATTAAATTTAGAAAAATGCTCCATTAAATTTGCATTAACAAAACTTCAGAGTTTGGAAGTTCCTATTAAAAATTTAGAAATTTAAATTTGCATTTCAGACTTTGGAAGTTTAGCAAAATTTAGAAATTCAGGCTTTGGAGGTTCCAAAGCACTTCCATTAAATTTAGAAATTTAGCAACTTCCATGAAAGTTTGTAGCCAAGAAATATCAACAAACCTTCAGACTCATGGTATATATATACTAAAAAATGTACATTTCTAAATGAAATGTTATTTTTCTTACTTCAGAAATGGAATGGGCATTTTACATTACTATCGCGCGAAGCGCGTTATTGCCTCCTAGTCAACATAAGTAGATAACATGGCAACTCCATTCAGCCAGAATTTTCGTCGTCCTCTCACGTGCCCGGCATGTGGATTGGAATCATCATGTTGTTCGCGCATCGCGCGTTAGTTTTCCCATCTGGCCTCGCCTGCCAGTGTCCCATGTGCCCGTGCTTCCGTCTTTCTGATCTTCTGCTGCATTTGCTCTCTTCCCGCTGCATTCTCTCTCCCATTACATTCTCTTTCTTTCTTTTTTTGGTTTTTTTTGGGATAATGTTGCTCTATCACTTATCCGCATCCTCTGGAACCTGGTACAAAATTTTGTTGACCTCCTCCTTTGTTTTGTTGTAATAGGCTTTCTTCTTCATCTCCGGTGAGGTCAGATCTTCTCTTCGGGTTACCTCTGGTCTGCCCCTCTTTTTGTTTTTTTTGTTTTTTTTTTTTTGGCTAAAGTTCGTATTTCTTTTGTCCCTTGTCCACTGACGTGCAGTTTTCTCTTTTTTTTCTCATCCACGGGCTTGTTACCGCCCAAGGACGTGCCATCTTCACTGTTGGTTGCAGATCTTGTGCTTTCTTCTTTCTCTCCAGTGAGGTCGGGTCTTCTCTTCAGGTTGCTCTGTATTCATGTTTTTCTCCTCCTCTGTAAAAACTTGTTTGATGCTAATGGTTCTTGTGTTTTGTTGTGCAAGCATTTTTTTCATTGCTTTTAGGAGACTGGTTTGTGATTTCTTTGGTAGCTGGGATTTGGACTCTGGAAGCCGTTTGTTTGGCTGCCCCTCTTTACTTGTCTTTCCCTCTCCTCCCCATCATCAAATTCCAGCCACATCTTCTAATGTAGCTCTCTACTACTTACAGACGGAATCCGCAGTAGAAGTTTCTGAACTGAAAAAGGAAAGCTAATCTCAGGGAGATAGATAGAAGAGAAGGTACGATGGCGTCCAAGATGCAGAGTATCGCGGTTCTTCAGACCGAGAATAACCTTGCAACCGGAGGTATATTTTCTTCAACTTTCTTCCTTCTCTCAATATCTCAATCTCTCTCTTTCGCGCTCTTTTTTCTTTTGTTTCAATTAATCTGAATTTCTATCTACATTTCAACGGAGTAGTAGTATATCGTCCTTAATTGGTGCACAACATTAGGAAATCTTGTTCTCTTTCGTTGTTTCCCCTCTTTAATAATCGAACCACTTCAAGAAAAAAACCGACCTTGGGAATTATTTTGCCCTAATACCCATTGTGGGTTTCGTAAATTTTGGTAATTTATTATATTTAGCTAAGAGAATTGGAGGTTTTGGTATAATTTGTGTAAAATTCCACGATTTTTCGGCTAGCAGTTTGGGCTTTAGAATTGCTGGCTTTGTCTGAATTTTTATCTCTTCTATATTTAATGGATATCTGAGGATCATTTAGTATCTGAAACTAATAAATCTACCAACGCTTACAGTCATGAGTGTAGAGTTAACTAAATATGTTAACCTCTTTATGAATAACTTTTTAAGGACTTTTATGCTAATTCTTCGCATTCAAAAAGGAGATAAATGGAAGAAACATTATTTTCTGATATTAGAGACACCTGCGGGAAAGAAGATGATAGCAAGTTACTGACCCCAGGTAGTATGAGATGAGATTGTATTGTAATTGAGCAGGGTTCACTTATCATAATAGATTGAATTTTGTAGTTTTGAACTGATACATTGTTCTTTTGATTGACTGAATGGCAATTTGGGAGCCATGCAGTTTGTTTTTCTTGTTTTTATTTTCTTATAATCCAAACCTGAAAAGGATTTGTTTTTTTCTCTTCCGAGTGATTGTTTGGTTTTCCAAAGATTTAAATTTTCCAGAGATTGATTGTTTGGTTTTCCGAAGGTCAATCTCTTTAACCCAAGAAAATAATAATATTAAACTGAAAAACAACAAAAATGTTGTCTTGGGAAACTATTGTTTATTTACATGGCTTGAAAGTTGAAATTGCCAGAAACAAGAAGCTCACTTTCTCTGATGGTCATATTTCTTCATCAGGTTGACCATTGCCAAAAAGAAGAGCTTAGCTACAAGACATCTCATAGCAATATCACGTCTTATTGTTGAAAAATTTGATTTTATGGTAGTGTTTGTAGGTTGAGTTATGACCCATGATTTATGCTCAGGCCCTTAAAATGGAGATATATAGTTAAGAAAAGTATAAAGGATTGGGGTGGCTTCAACATTTACCTTCAACTAATTTTCCTTGTGTTTTTCCTTTTTGAATTCAGCTTTGTGGAAATTGTGGCTCCTGTTTTCTCGCGGGATGCTTGGCGATGTGTTTGGCATATGATTCAGGTTCCCTTCTCTAACTTTGTCATTTGTATACGTATGTTTTAAGCCTTGTTGTACCTCCAACTATTTTTGCTTTTAGCTGCTCTCATTAGCCTTGGTTCTTTCCAGCTTAGAGCTCACGCTGATTTTTTACTTTCAATAACATTTCTAGAATGATTTGGTGCATGGTTGGGGATTGGATTTTGCACTAAGGAGATGTGTGGAGGTCAGTGGTTTTATTTGTTTCTTATCACTGTATTATTTGAAAGATTTAGAAAAGAAGGCTTGTCTACCTGCTTTTCATATTCCTGTTGGAAGGAGAGATCTGCGGGACAGTGGCATGTAAAACAGATAAAATTGGAAAACATGTATGTATTTCAAATGGATGTCTGCGTATTATCAGTTTCATTGTAAGTGTATTTTGCCTGTGTAGCCTGCACATGAGAAAATTGATGTGGTTGACTCTCAGTGGATAGTTCATCAAGTTATTCCTTCTCTGGGAAGTCAGGTCAGTTAACTACTTTATTACAACCATCGGGACTTGCTTTTCCTTTTCCTAGAGGTGATTAAAATAATGAAGTTTAGTTGTTTGCAAATGTTGTTCTGTTCAACTTTAATTTCCATTTTTGAGCAAATGGTTCTTCATTTATAAAATAAGCAACTTTTTAGCAGCAACCCCCTTATTTACATTTTTTTCTTCCACGTCAATTATCCTACTTGTCCCTTGATCTGGTTTCCCCTCATTTAGATTTGTTTTGTTGATAATGATGCTAACAGCTTCAGCTTCGTTGATTCCAGGGTCAATCTGAAAATGGAAAAGCTCCTTGGCAAGGGGTATGTAAGCTGTTACTTGTTCGGTTTCCATTTCAACCTTTCTGTATATTTTTTTATTGAGGCCTTTTCTTTGTCCTTCGTTTTTTTTGCAAAAGTCAACTCTGAAAGCTTCTTCATCCAATTTTATGGTAATCTGAGTTATTCTATATCACCTACATTCTAACAATCATGTTTAAATTAGGATTCATAGGTCTTATATCTGCACTCTGTTTGAATTGCATGATTTTGCATTGAACTGAATTTCATTAGATTTGTCCAAACGTCAAGTAACTAGCTTGAATTCTTTTCTATCTAATTTGGTAGGTAAGAGAGAGGTGCAGAAGTGAGTGGGTGCAGTTTCAAGATCGCCTAGCCAATGCAGATAAGAAATATATTGAACAGTTTGGGAGGACTTTGAATTAGCTAATTTCTGGTTATTACCCGTAACTTTCTTCATTTTCTTTTGTCCTTTTTCCATCTTTGTATCATTGTACGGAAGGGTGTTTTGGAGCCCAATTCTCTCACTCGATGTCTTTAAAATTTTTTTTTTTTTGCTTCTAGCGGGCGGTAGCTGAACTTCCTGTAGTAGTGAAAACTAACGATCTGAAACTGGAAGAGAGTGATCCTTTTTTGTGTATAAATAGATTAGACTTTGCTTCATTTGACTCCCATATTGCCAATATTCATTTCCTTTTCTTTCTTTTTTCTTTTCCTTCTATTTTTTTTCGCCCTTTTTTGCCCTTTTCTATTTTCTTGAGACGGGGAGGTGTGGGTGGGAATCCGTTGGTTGCCTCATACTGAACTCACCCGCTTACAGTTGTTATTTGGAGAACCATCCCCTGTTACCACTTTATTGAGCTTATTACCATCAGTAGTGGGATTATATGAGTTGGAGTACTTACCTACTTTATGTTTAATATTTCACTATTAAGTTGCGAATTTGGAGACGGAATTTCTGTTATATGCCAAATTTCTAATATTCTGGGTATCTCTTTTGCAGGAACGAGGTATTTGAACAACAGAAAGTTTTGTATCCTTCTAAGTTTTCTTGCATTTGGGTATTGATACTACTCACCTTTATTGCTCTGACTCCTATTTCTTTGCACAAGTTCCCTTTGACCTGCAATGCTTCTTTACTTTTTTTTTCTCTTAACTTCTTGTAGCTCTGATTGGAAAAGAAATATAGAGACATTGGAGAAAATAGTGTAACCAGTCTGAGGACATTGATCAATCTTGGTTCTGAAGTGTACATGCAAGCTGATGTGTATGTCTCTTCATACCATATCAATGTCATTTTACTTGGTTGTTCATAGGATTAGTATACATTTGAAGTGTTTATCAAGATATGAAAGAATTCATTTCTTTTTTGTTTGAGGTGTGTGTGATTTATTATAACTATATATGTTTGTGTCTGCCTATGCACTGAAAAAAAAAAGAAAGTATATGGTACCTTAGTTGTTCCAAGTATGTCTTCAGCTATGGTGAACAAAGTGTTGTAGGTTCTTTGGGCTACGAGCTTGGGTTTTGGTAGTCTCAGTACCAGATGGAATCATGTTAGATTGATATAGGGTGCAAGAGAAGTGTTCTTTACTTGATGTGATGGTGCTTACTGTAAACAAATATGAGAGATAATTGCAGAAACAAGGCAAAAACAATCAATTATGGGGACAGTTCAAAACTTTAACAGCTTACGAATAAGCGATCGAACCTGAATTTATCTTTCCTGATTTCCAATTTTCAACTCTAGATATTCCCCAGGCAATCACGACCTTCAAGCTTCTCATCATAACTATGCGTCTTTAGGAAACATCTGTTTTTTTGAACTTGATAAGTGGAGCCGATCCATGTATTCTTAAGGTAGCTATGTCAATGATTGAGTTGGAATGGAACAAACAAAAGAGAATGATTTATAATGTCAATGTATCCATGAATGATTTATAAGCCTATGTGCTTGATTTATCAACTCTAGATATATTGAGTGATTGAGTTGGATCTATTACAATTATCTATTGATTGAATACCTTGAGCTTTTTGCCAAAATCTGTCTCAAAACTGATTTTGATTTGTAGCTATGGTACATTTGCTACTTGAGGTTGTGATGGTTATGTTGATGTGTGGGATGGAAACAATAAAAAAAGGCTGTACCAGTTATTTTTCCTTAATTGAATTTGAAATGTCTTCCGCTCCATGACAACATTTGTCAGTTTTTTATCATACTTGTTATATTTGTCAAAACAAGGGTTCTTTTTTTTTTTTTTTGTTTTTTGCCTCTGAATTTGAGATTATGATTTCTTTGTTATACTAACTTATTCTATTGTTCGTGGAAATTTATTACTTTAGCTCATTTTTCTGAAAGTGATCAATTGGAATGCTAAAGCAAGATGAATTGTATTAGAGACTTCTTTTTGTTTCAGACTTTGACAAATGCTGTTTTATATCCTGTAAATGATGTTCTTCTGTGTTTGGTTCTTTCTGCGAGATGTTACTTTTGCTTCGGTGTGTTGTGTATAAAGGCATCTTCATAAGTTACTTGTGTGAGTGCTGTTTTGAATGATTACACTTATTCTTCTTGAATGATTTTGAATGCTTTTGACTGAATAAATAGTGTGTGCAGACTAGGAATTCATTGGTTATTTTGAATGATTTTGAATGCTTCTAATTTTTTGCTGCAGAATTCTGAACTGACTGCTCATGTGGCCAAGCAGTAAAGAGGAAGGAATCTGCTGTCCTATGTTAGGCATTGTCGTTTGATTATGAGTGCAGTTTCATTGGATGTTTTTTAGTTAATGTGTATTATGTAGTTATAGTTGTTAGAGGACTCAAGCACAGAAATTCTGTAATAGCTAGGTTGTTGCCATTTCAGTTTGTTGCCATTCTGTAATAGCTAGGTATGTATTGATCATATAATTTCTGAAGCATTCTTGATGGGAGAAAAAGACTTTGGGGTAAAGAATCAAGAAATCATATAGAGAACAAAGTTGAAATTAATGTAAGACGAGACCATACAGCTTTCCTAAGATTGATTCTTTATTTGGTTCATTATTTCTGAAATAAGTTAAATTCTTTGACCACCTTTTTTTTGCACATTACTTATTCATTTTTTTGTGTTCATCCTAGATTAGATTAATAGTTTAAATATACTTTCCACAGTAATTAATTTATAATCAGTTCCACAATTTAGGTCTTGGTTTTCTTTTTATGACGTTGGTATAATAACCTATAAAAATGTTGGGTATATCATAATTGTTAATGTGTCTAAAACAAAATGACTTCTTATATACAAAACAATTAATGTCATTCTTATATACAAAACAACTAATGTCATTTTTAGTGTGAAATGTCTTATTGAATTTCACTTTGTGTATTTCAAGCTTCTCTGGCCTCCAAAGACGAAAATTCGCTGAGAAGACAAGAGCAACAGCCGTGATGAAAGGATTGTTTTACTACCATTACTTCCTTACAAGGACTAAGGACAATTCATGAGGTCCTAGAATCCGGTATTTATTACTACCATTATATATATATTTTTTGCTTAGACGGTATTTATTATGGCTGATATGGTTTCTTTTGTTACTTTATAAACAGATCATGAAATCTCAGAATCAGTTCTCCATCGTATTGTCTCATCTATGAATCCATTCCTAAAACATGACTGGACTACATTCAATTGCTTCTATCAATTTTATCTATCAAAGTACAAGTACAAGCTGGTATAGTTTTGCATTCTCTAACCTTATTAACTCTCTTTCTTTTGTACATATGTGTATTTACTTATCACAATTTTTTTTCATACATTTATAGGATCTACCAGAATTTGCGAATCTAAGGCTAAATGAAGATAGTACGACGACTATAACTCTTACAAATAGTCATAAATATTATCATGTTGGTATGACCGGCAGATGTTTTGATCAAAACTGGAACCGTTTTGTTATTGATCATGATCTAAAAAATGGCCAGATATTGCTTTTTATTCCACAATCCAAGACTCCCTTTGTTGTGCTGGTGTTTGACCGCAAAGGAATAGAGAAGTTGTTTCTATGGCAGTTTGCATTTTCCATTTGATGGCACATCTGATTTACGTTGATTCTGCTTCAACGCAATGCACGGCATTTGTTGTATTTATGTTCTTAATGGAAAAAAGTTCTGGTTAGAAAAATGCTTCCAAAGCACTGCAAATTTAATGTTTAGCAAGTTCCTACTGTTGTAAACAACAATTGAAGCTTTCATAATGGATGTTCCAACGGCATTACTTATTAAACTTTGATGTTTAGCAATAAAGTTGATCCTACCTTTGGTTACAAAAAACAAATGGCTGGTATATATTAAATTTAGAAAAATGCTCCATTAAATTTGCATTAACAAAACTTCAGAGTTTGGAAGTTCCTATTAAAAATTTAGAAATTTAAATTTGCATTTCAGACTTTGGAAGTTTAGCAAAATTTAGAAATTCAGGCTTTGGAGGTTCCAAAGCACTTCCATTAAATTTAGAAATTTAGCAACTTCCATGAAAGTTTGTAGCCAAGAAATATCAACAAACCTTCAGACTCATGGTATATATATACTAAAAAATGTACATTTCTAAATGAAATGTTATTTTTCTTACTTCAGAAATGGAATGGGCATTTTACATTACTATCGCGCGAAGCGCGTTATTGCCTCCTAGTGGTACTTAAATGGGGGCTTGGGGGTCTTTATCTTTTTATTAGGAAGATAAAGTAGAGGAGGGGACTTGGGCCGGAAAGTATTCGACTTTCGCCTTCGAGGAGTCCGCCTTTTCTTCTCCGCTCTACTTTTGATTTGATAGTCATCCAAAATTTGCCAACGAAGTCTTAAATGTGAGTAGTACACTACTTTATTTAGTTTAAGGTAGGAATTCCTGCCAAAAAAAGGGAAGAATTATGTTGAACTACTTTATGTTGGTTTCATATGTAACAAGTCAAATACCTTTGCTCAATTCTGTCCATGCTCTTTGATATAATTAAAAACAGCATTTGGTTAATTAATTCTGCGAAGATCAAGTTTATGAAAGATATTCACAGGGTGGTGCAAACTTTATTAGCTCATGTTCATGATGATTATATTATGTTAGCTCATGATGTACACAAATAGCAATTTGGCCCAATATTATACAAACAACTATATGAAGTACCAACAAGAATAGCAAAGCAAAAAGGTACTCATAATTGTAGATTACTCCTGCTTAATATACAGCACTGTTTCTTGGCACTCTTTAGTTGCTTCTTTTTTATGAGAAACACTTCCCTAGTTTTTTTCTGGGTATTATGAGAAACACTTCTTGATTGATTTGTTGCTATTATGATTTTGTCGAAAGTGATTTTCGGGCCAGTAATAGAGTCCTCAAGAAAGCGCCAACCATCTATGCAAATTGAATGAGGCCTTGAAGATCTTGATCTTCTGATGAAATGGAAGAGAGCATTACAGGAGCTGTTACAATAGACTGAATTTCGCAATTACCAGACCCAATTTTGCAACATATTTTGTCCTTCCTTGGGGTTAAACCAAGCTTGACGTGACGTGACTGGGTTCCAACTGGGATAACCTTTTGATTCTTTGCGGGAGTTGTATTTGCCAAGGGACATATGCTGACAATCAGCTATTTAAGCTTCTGATTAAGAGGTGTCCCGGGATGGAGGTATTGCCTCTTTGTTGGTGCCATGGTTTTGAAGGTCCAGAAAGTTTTGCGTTGCTGAAATTGCAGAGGATCAGATTGGTAAAATGTGTTGTAGGACTCGACAGGATTGAGGTTCAGTGAAAATATTGTTCCTGCCCCTTTTATTCAGTCGGCTTTGTATTGCTCCTCGTTTGGATACTCTTATCCATTTTCACTCAGTCGTTCTTCTAGAAAACTAACTATACAGGTAAATTTATACTTGGGAAAGTTTAGTGATGCTTTTTTCTCTTCAACGTCGAGGAACCATATAAGCCTTGTAGCTCATTTTTAATTCCTTTGTGGATTATGGCTCCGCTGGTTCTTATTTTTATTTGCTTCTGATTCAGTTTGCTTATGGAACTTCCAAATGTCGAAGAGGAAGACCCCTATTGCACATCAAAATCTTGCAAAGAAGTTACAAGGAAGCTGAAGAACTATTTTCTTGAGAGCGCAAAGATGCTGGAGAGTATTGATGGTCTCCTAGAAGATGAATTTTTAAGTCTTGCAAATGCTTCTTTTTCTCGTTTAGGGCCGCTATGAATGGGATTCAGGAAACTATGGACATTCTACTTTGGTTGAAGCAATAGGTGATTAGGCTAATATATATTGGGCTTGACTAGTTTTGGTTGAAGAAGCGTAGCGTCTGTTGAAAGTTGAACCTAAAATCACGCCATCTTATTCTGAAGGAGCCTTTTATAGAGTGTGTAGTTTCCAAAGCAATATGCAAAATCCTGTTCACCAAAATTTCGAAGATTTTGACGAACTTGAATGTGTTCACGGATTTAACAAAGTCACTGTTTTTGCACCTATTGCTAGTCTGCTCTGTGATCTGGAATGATCCACTTTTGAACACCATCCATGGCAATGCTTTGGTCTTCGCAAGACCATGAGACAAGACGGCAGTGACGTGGGACTCGCAGTGGCTGTTAGCAATTGAGTTTCCAGTTACTTCATTCCCTCCATTTCTACCTGTCTTCCCTCTTAAGAGAGACAGAACAGAATGGCAAATTGATACTTTCCATTCCACTTTCTTTTCTTCCAATTTCTCAACTAAGGAAGCATAGAGATTGCTCATTTCTTGGGGAGGCTCAATAGAATATCTACAGAGACTACATCTTGTATATTGTAATAGTTCACACTTGGTCTAGCATCAATTAGTTTTTGATTTTTTTTACCTTCAAATCCAGCCTTTCCACGGAAGCTGTACTTGACAAAATCTTCAAGGCCCAGGCATTACAGACAAAAAAAATCCTCTTGAAAAGCTTTGCCAAATGGAGGTCTTCAACCCTTCTGCACAAATAAGTTTAAACAACCTTCACTAGGAGGATATGCAATTTTTTTTTTTTTTTTTTTTTAAAAGGAGGCTGACCTAAACATAGAGGGATAAGAAATAAGAAAAAGAAGTCCCAAACCAACCATTTGTTGTCCTTATTGGAACTTGAAAGCTAACCTTCACAAGAATCTAAAAGGTTTTGAGATGTCCAACGGCCAAAGGTCAGAGATGAGGCACTTTTGTATATCATTTAACAAACAGACAGACTTGGTTGCCGTTGAGTCCTCCTTATCCAGTCTAGAATATGCGAACAATCTTCACGTTGAATGTATTGCCTTCACATGGGAATTAAAGGTAAAAACCCATTCCTCATTTGCAGTAGGACGATCATATACAGACAGCACATACCTATTTTTTGTTCGATATGCCTTCAACTGTGAAGCTGCCTTCCGATTTGATACATCCTTATGCATTGCAAGTGAGTCAGGCACCTTCAAGTTCCCGGTTTCATCATGATATGAATCATGTATCAATTTTAAAACCTTTTCCTGCAAACATGCTGATATTTAACACGTAGCATAGGGATATGAAAGTGCTCCTGTTTTTTTTTTGGGGGGGGGGGGAGAGAAAAAAGATGGAGGGACTAGCTATCCAATTTTGAATATAGCATCAGCCTCCATAAGCGCAAGTTCCAAAGAGTGCTGAAAGGAAAAAGTCCAGTGCAAATAAAAGCCACAATTAGTAAAGGTTGATCACATTGTCCTTCCAAGCTAGGCAGAGTTACTGCTATTCCACAGAATTTATGTGACATCCTACATTGATGGCAACTCCTTTACGGCCCATCTCATCTCTCTTACAGCAGATAGAAAGCCTCTTCACTATGGGATCCCCATCCTCCCTTTTTGTTTTTATCTCTAAAAATCTTTCCTTCTCCACCAGTGACAATCTTCTAATTACATTTCAAATGCCAGAAGTTAAGACTGCAATAAAGCTGTTTCACTCTTACTTCCGTTCACAACAAAGCATTGTGATGTTACTTCAGGCATAAGAAGGAAAGAGAAAGCCAACCAAGTTAGTATGAAATCATGTTGAACCATGAGGACAATATGAAACTAACTTCAAAGATTCAACCTTAATGAAATATCAAGGTTCAAGACCCGTGAACATCGTTCCTGTGCTTGAATTTGCTAACCAAGTAATGCTTTTCTTAAAGGCTACAGGAGGATTCCCAATTTGGCTGGTCAGGTTCATCATAAACAGTCAACCAAAAGCAGCTTCATTGCCACTTAGAAAGTAATCTAATTTAGAGAAGCTGTTAAAACTTTAAGGAAAGAGCTAGAAATGTATATCTTATGAGAAACTCTAGTAAGAACTCCCTGGGTAAGACATTATTGGTCTGCCCTCAACATTGGCCCAATCAGATGAAAGAGATCCCAGGCATCAAGGCCTTTCAAGTTGATAAGGATGGAGATACTAAAAGTTTCACAAGGCTGTACGGGTCAAATATCCAGGTCCTCAAATCCACTCCCCATTGATGATTGGCTCTGTCTGCTACAATCTTAACAATCTAAAATGTATTTGGTTGGAAAAACATTCTTTTTTTAGCGCGGCTCCAAGAAGTATGCTTTTCTAGTATCTTGCTCAGGAATCCAATTTTTTACTGCTAAGTATTGTAAAGAAGTTTATGTTAAGCAAAGTTAGATAATTAGTGAAATGATAAACAAGAAGTTAGGAAATACAGATGACATACCAGAGACTTAGATGCATCAATCCATTGATAAATATGTTCATTGCGGAACCATGTTAACTGCCTTTTCGCAAAGTTTCTGCATTGGGAAACAGAAGAAAACATGTGGCTAAGGACTGTGGCGCAAAGAACAATGCACATCCCATGTAACATAAACAAACTCAGGTTAAGAGATACAAATATTTAAGCAGCAAAAGCTTTTATGAGCAAAATAAAAAAGAAAGATCCAGCAAATGTTCTGGTGCAAAATTAAGGCAGTAACTTTTGAGAGGACTCATGACTAACATGCTGGTTAAGTTCCGATAAAGATATGAAGTACCTAGATGCTTTCTGAAATGCAGATAGGAAGGTATAAAAATCTCGAGCAGAACTCTGACCATCTTGCTCTCTACAGCACAAAAGGTACTCCATTGCCTGAAGAGTCAAATAAAGATCAAGGGTCTCATTTTTTTGTCAGCTCATAATTCAGGATTAGCTTAAAAAACATGATTTTTACGAATTTATCATAACAATCTTGAAAAAGAGTATACTTGTCGGTAACCAATAGCTCGGGTTGCAGAACTAGAATTAGGCAAGAGACCCAAGTCAAGAAGCCAACTTGCTTCAGATAGTAATCCATCATCTCCTGTGATGAAAAGCCCTCGTCAGAATAGATACTAAGAAAAGCCACTGGCAAGAGTAGAAGCTGAGACTGTCAATTTGATCAATTTGAAGAGTAACTACAATCACAATCAAATAGTATGTGTCTGCATTGTTGAACTTTGCACCTCACATTGTGCACCACAGGTTAAGGATCATTAGTAGAGCTATTTACAAGTTGCCGTCAAACTTCAAACTGTTTGAAAAGGCAATAAAGATTTCTTTTTAAAACTAGATCAACATCAAATATTTTCTAGAATTTCCAGGAATAAATAGATTACACAAAGGCAGAAATGAATAAAATAGATAATCAACAAAACACACAAACAGTTCACAAAATCAACCAAACGGAAGTAGCAGAGGAAAGTTCCTATGTCCCAATAGACAAGGAAAGCTACACAATTAAATTTTGAGACACCTCAAGTTCAAAAGGCAGGGTAACTATGAAGTTTCATTTGCACCTGAAAGCATATCTTCACACCGGAAATCAATTGATCTGTAAAGGTCCAGCCTTTGGGTGGAAAGGAAAAAACAAAGGAAGCCATAGTCCAATTTCTTCGAGTTATCTTCCTGAAGTCCATCAACAGAAGACTTGATGTCTGAAGAGTCAGTCAGATGAAAATCCAAGCTTTCCCTGAATGAATCATACGGCACTTGAAAAGCTGATGTAGGTGAACCACTAGACTGTGATGTACACAACCATACATGTAAATATGGTGGCTAAACCTACTCGGAAATATCTATTCTAGCATTGTGAAACAGATGAAACAGCAAGTTCTAGATTCACATTACAGAGATCTCACACAAAACTAATAAGCTTGCAAACCAACCTTAATGATCTCAAGTCTGCGACGTAAGCGATACCAATCATTTGGTGCTAAAAGTTTAACACTTGGATCTCCTGCTTCAATTACCAACTGGACAGCTGCATCCCAATCACCATCTCTCTCTAGATCTGCCAGTTCTGAATAAACTTCAGAGGTAATCTCACGAGAGGCTTTGGGAACATCTGGCTTTCCATATATGAACCTTATATATCAAAGAGAGAAATTTATCATTATGTACCACATAAGCAGCAAGCAGTAGAATCTGTAGTAGCAAATCCAGTTAAACCACACCATCCAATGTCAATAGCCACAGCAGCTGAGGAATAACTATCATGTTTCTTTTCCATATGGAGATCTAGGCGCCACAATTACATTTAAATTAACATAATGGGTGCTATGGGTATCACTAAATAATTTCAGACTGGAGTGTACTAAAATCTGACCAATTAGCCTGATTTTAGAAGCTAGCTGAGAATTGCTAATGCAACATCCATGTACATCTATCTTGACCTTTGAATCAACACAGTGAAGTCTGGCAAGGAGGGCTAACAAATAGTTGTAAAGGACCAGAATTTCCTCACTTAGGTCTCATAAATATGTAGGTCAACCAAGAAAAATGAGATGGTTTGAGGAATCAGATCCTCAGCTTTCCAATCTCAGATTCTAATTTCTATCTCCCATAAACCATTATTTTTAAGCCCAAGAATAAACAAATCAACACCTGCTTCCCATTCCTTTTACTCTCAGATGAGGTAATCAAGTGAAGCTTTTGGTACAAGTAATAAACATACCATCGCAAGTAGAGTCCAGTACCGCCAACAACTATTGGAACACGGCCAGCATTAAGGACATCTCTTGTAGCTTGCCTTGCATCCATGAAAAATTGCCCAACGGAATAATCTAATTATGCAAACATAAAACAAAATAACATTAGAGATAAAAATATAACAAGTAACTGCAGTACTAGACATATCAAAAAAGATGTGCAAAATCATTAACTCAAAGAGTGCTCTTATTTAAATTCCATTACAAACTCATATTGATTTAAAACAACAAAGCTATAGCAATCAGCTTTTCGAGAAGTTCAATCATTTCATGCATTATGCCTCATCTCTATTTTACTCCAAGATAATAGAAAATAAACATCCATGGAAATATATTTTGTACCATCAATATTGATAAGTAATACCTTCAGATGGATGCAATATGTCAATCAGATGGTGTGGAACTTCCTGTTACATAAAAAAGAATCACAATCAGAATAAACTTGACATGATACAGCCTAATGAAATGACTAACTAATCCCAAGGGAAAAAAAGGTAAGAACAATTCTGGAGCAAAAAAACCAAAAATGAGCAACAAAAAACTGAATATGCATATGAGAAGTTTATCCAGGAGTTGCATTATAAGAATTCAATACCTTTCTTTCACTTAATGAAGGCTTCGCTGATCCAACATCGAGTCCTTGATAAACCTGGTTAAAATAAAAGCCGAATAGCTCAATACAGAAACTCTGAGGTTTATCAACTTAACATGAATCATTTAAAAATTGAGTTTATCAAAATTAATTTCTTCTCCTCAACAAGAACCCAATGCAGCAAAATAAATTTAGCGTCTTCGTCCTTGTCTCTGATGGAGGGATCGTTTTAAACCCTCCCGAGCTTCAAAGCAGTAAATAGGGACAGAAAAAGAGAAATTTTCTCCTTTATGAGTAAATAAAATGAAATTCTTGAGTATGGTTGTTTTACTTGGACCTGAACAGAGTCGGCACTGATAATTTCGCCATTGAGCAGCTTAGCAAGCTCTAAAGCCAGCTTACTTTTGCCGGCACCGGTGGGGCCGGAGATGACAATCACTTTCTCCCTCTTATCCACGGAGGAGGAGGAGCAGGAGGTGCTGAAGAGTCGCCCGATGCGGTGGTGGAGATGAAAGGGACGAAAGCAGGGGAAGCGAAGCGGTGTCCCCGCCGAGTACGGGAGGCGGAGGCAACTCATTCGAACTCCGACCAAAAAGAAAATTGATTATCCTCAATCCACATCCACAGGGGATATCAAATTACCATCATCATTGGTATACACCTTCTAATCCCTCGTATCAAATTATTTCTATGCCACTTCAAAAAATGTATGAACTAAATGAGTTTGTTTGGATAAGAATTTATTTGGATGATTTATTTGATCCAGTTACTGTAACACTTTTTGTGATGTGATGTATGTGAGATAAAAAGGTGATTGGAAATTGTGTGTATGATGCAAGCAAAACAAAATCTGAAATTTTTATTCCAAATTCTTGTTGTCCAAACAAACTCAATGTTTTCACTTTCACTCACCAATAAAAGGAAGGAAAAAAAAAACCCTTTTCAACATATTGACTTATTTCTTAATTTTCTTTTATCTAACTCTACTAGCATCATAGAGGGATTTTGGGAGGAGTCATGGATATATAAACAATTTTGAATTGTTATTTTTTTGTCCAGATGAATCTTCTTATAATCAGAAATTATTCATGACAAGCACAACATTATTAGATTGAAAATAGATCTTCTTATAAATGACTCGTCCAGGGAAAATAGATTGAAATTCGGAAGAATAATTAGGAGTGTAACAAAAAAAAAAGGAAAAAAATATTTAAAAAAAAAAAAGGAAAAAAAGAGAAAAGCTTATGACATAAGTTATCGAAGGTGGGTTGCCATGCAAAAGGAGAAGGAAATGGAAAATATGAGGCAATCAAGGTCGAGTAATTTTGTTTTATTAAGATGCTACTCCTGTAATTTTGTTTTATTTACGGCATGTAGTTAGAAGTATGGGAAAATTTCAGAAATCTCCTCCGGCTCTGTTTGTCAAGTGAGTTTTTTGGAGGTTTGTCTAAAACTTTACTGTAACTTAATGTAGAAATTTTTTAAAAAATTTTTTAAGTGTTTTTTTTTTTTGAATATTTTGAAATGTATAGTTTAAAACTTTGGAAAGTTTTTTAAGATTGCTGTAGCTAAAATTTTAAAAAAACTTGTAGGAGGCAAACTTGGCTGCCAAAGTTGAGAAAAGGTTTGCATGAGACCTTGCGGTTACCAAACCAAGAACTATGAGCAATAGAGCTAGTCCAAGTTTTTGACTTAACGAGACAGTCGTTTTTTCTAACAGAATTAAGGAACATTATTGATATTTGACACATCTCCAGCAATTGTTTATATTTGTGAAGCTGAAATTGACAACCAAATTCCACAGCTCAATTACAGTACACAAGTTTGCTTGAGACACACCTAAACTTCATAACATACCAACTTGCTGTTGCATATTAGTTGCGCAGAATACCTCAACTATGCTTTTATTCCAAGATATTGCACCTCAGCTAATGGTACAATACTCGTCTTCAAGAATGACTACCAGAAGAATAGCAAAGGATGATGATCTTCTAGAGAATTTAGCTCCCAATGACTACTCAGCCCATTCAATATCATCGCCGAATGCAGCTGGTTTTCCCGGTTGCATTGGCTTCTCTGCTTGTGCTAGGAGCCGTACGAGTTGCACTCGATAGTTTGAAGAACAACGAGTCGTATTTTCTTTGGCAATCCCGTTTGGCAGGAAGCAGAAGGCCTAGACTTCCAATTATTGTTTCTGAAGATGAGCTGATTGAAGATGGCTGCGATGTGTTTGAAGGAAAATGGGTATGGGATAATTTAAGCTACCCGCTTTATAGAGAAGAGAGTTGCCCTTACTTGGTTAAACAGGTTACCTGCCTTAAAAATGGAAGGCCTGATTCTTTGTATCAAAATTGGAGATGGCAGCCTAATGGATGCAACCTGCCTAGGTAAAATCAAACTGGTTATCTTCTGAACCACGTTGTTCTATCGTACAACCTTTTCCGCTCCCACTGCATCGTAGCATTCACTTGCCTATTAATAGGTGGGGAAAAAGAATGTGAAAGCACAAAGTAATATAGGAGATTTCAACACTATCATTGAGATAAATAACAGTTGTTCTTGAAAACAGTCGACACTATATATGATATGACAGGACCTGCTATGATTCTGGGCATTTTTCTTTTAAATTACCCCTTTCGTATAACTGATTCACTGTTAAAAATTTCAGGTTTGATGCATTGAAGTTGCTAGAGATTTTGAGGGACAAAAGGCTGATGTTCATAGGGGACTCAATACAGAGAGGAATGTTCGAGTCTATGGTCTGTTTAGTACAATCCGTAATTCCAGAAGGAATGAAGTCTCTTGAAAGGATTCCTCCCCGAAAAATTTTCGTTATTGAGGTACGACTCGATTCTTCATTCAATCATAATGCCTAAAAGATGAGAATGAAAATGGAAAAATGGGACAATAAAGAGCATGGCATACCTTAACAGGACTAGTCAGTTGAATTTGTTTAATGCATTTGCTTCGGGGGGTTTGCTAATTGAAATGAAACAATCTCTTTTTAGTGCATCACTTACAAGAAGTGAAATTGATTAATCCCTCATCTGATTCCAGGAGTTTAATGCATCGATCGAGTACTATTGGGCACCCTTCATTGTTGAGTCTATTTCAGATCATGCTACGAATCACACTGTACTAAAACGAATGGTCAGGCTTGATTCCATAGCTAAGCACAGCAAAGAGTGGGAGGGAGTTGACATTTTGGTTTTTGAGAGCTATGTATGGTGGATGTACAAACCTTTGATCAATGCAACGTACGTACTCCCATATTTCCTATTCATTTGACTCACATCATTATTCAGAGTTATGGCTATGGATTCCAGCTAAAACTTTCAGACCATCTTCGTTTAGATATGGATCTCCAGACGATGTTAGAGAATACAATGTAACAACTGCGTATAAGCTGGCCATGGAAACTTGGGCAAATTGGATAGAGACCAGAATCAACCCTCGCAATCAAAAGATCTTTTTCATGACCATGTCCCCGACGCATCTGTGGTGAGTTTTAATCTACCGATCATCCATAGTTTTATAACCCTGCCTGACTTAAACGTATCAAGGGGCAGTTAATGTACAATCACAGCAAAATTAAGACTTACAAAATCTGCATGTAACATAGACCAATTGTCATTTCATGCTTTTTTCCTGACTTTTATTGTAGGAACTGGGAGTGGAAGGCTGGAAGTGAAGGTAACTGCTTCAACGAGTCACACCCCATTGAAGGGCCACACTGGGGCACTGGTTCCAGTCTTGACATCATGGGATCAGTGAAAGATGTTTTAGGAAAATTGAAAGTGAATGTTAGATTGTTAAACATTACACAGCTATCAGAGTACAGGAAAGATGGCCATACTTCAGTATTTGGCGAACGTAAAGGGAAGCTCTTGACCAAAGAACAGAGGTCTGATCCAAAAACGTATGCTGATTGCATTCACTGGTGCTTGCCAGGCATCCCAGACGTATGGAATGAGATTTTCTATGCAGTTCTTTTGCAGGATTACCGTAATAATTCAGGAATTGCATGATTTGTCCTCGAATTTTTCCATCTTGCTTTGACCAACTTCTCAGGTATTTCAACATTAACATATGGATATCCTAGTAGTAAGACCAGAAATGTTCAACCGAGAGCTTTCTCAGTTATGCTAGAAATGAGTATGCATGCCACATATGTAGCAGATTTTCACGTTTAACATCATTGAACAGACTTGCAAGTCTCTGCAAGAAGACTATTGAGATGCTTACTGTAGCAGAAATCGTGTAACCTTTTTAGCTGTAGGACGCACCAATAAAGCATGGATATCGTTCTAAAGGCTGCATTTTGAACGGAAGTTCAACTGTTGCACTAATTTCATCTAATGCAATTTAATTGGCGGCAAATTCTAACTTACACTACAGAAAATAGTGTATTTAAACATGGTCAATTTGAATGCTTGACTGAAAGAAACAATAGAAGAAACCACTTCAAGGATTAGAAGAACTTTTTGTATTATATTTTGGTGTGTGAATGTGTGTGATCTTAACATTTATTTACAATCCAGTCGCTGCCAATGCTGGACTGGCAAAAGAAGAACCATCATCTCATGGTTTAAAGAAGTTTTTTTGAGTTGTTTACTCTCAGTTGCTACAAAAGACCTTACAAGAAATTGAACCGCCTCAAGACGTAGGATAGCCGGAGATTCATCAGCCCAGGAAAGAAAGCTCCGAACTCGTTTGGCTGCATCTTCACTGAGGAGCAAAGGAACTTAGAGAAGCTCCCATTCTGACTCACCCAAATCACGTGCTTGTGAGGGTCTTGATGCAGATGTCATATGGGGTGAAAGATGCTGATCTGAATGGAAGCTGGTATCTGAATCAATGTCTCCATACCAAATTGACAACTGCTCATACTCCTTTATTATTCTCTTTCTTGAAGCAAAAGCCTCCTGTATCAGTTTCTGGGGTTGGGAAGGTTGGGAAAAAACGCAGGACAAGATAAAAAAAAAAGGATTAGTTATGCTCGTTTCCACCTGTTCAGCAGATCAATCTACAATAAACCGCTATTTCTCTTCAAGCAGGGAGGTCAAAAGGATCAAAAGCATCAAGCCCATCATCACATGCTTAAGGAATGACTAACGATGCTGCAATTTGAAAGCATTAACAATATACAGAACCAGATGACTCGATATACATACAAACTAACCAAGGAAAAATGAAAAAATGAACTACTCAGTACAACATTGAAACTCCTACTTGATAAAAGAATTCACCTTTTATTCTTTTTATAATGTGGTAAGCTTGTTTCTTGGAGCATAACTAATCATAACAATTATGACAATGAAGCTTGTCGTAGTAATAACTTTAAAATTCATGACATGGAACTCTTCTAGAAAAAGTATTGAAAACTTCCAATAAGAACATACAATAAGTGTGTGCTTATCAAAAATCAAGCAGTGATTCATCAAAATCGTACTCAGCTACATGTTTTAAAAGAATACTTTAATCAACTTCAGCTTAATGTACAACTTTTGCTTTAACTAACTCTTAAGATGGCACGCATGACAACAATTAAAATAAGAGTAAGGCACTGCATATTTCAAACTTCAACAAATACTATAAGCCACAAAACAAAGCATGCTCTGTCAGATCTAAAAGATCTTTGATCAGCATGAGCACAAAACACCACACCATCTCAAGCTGCACACAAACATAGAACCCACCAACCCAGAAAGAGACAGATAGAGACAGACAAAATACCTTGTATGATCTAAATTTTCTTGGTCTGCAGGAGGCGGCATACAGTAGCTCATTATCCACAATAACACAGCTTTCCTCAAGTTTTGCTTTATCAGAGAGATCGATAGTCTCCATGTCAGCATCGGAAATATCACTAACAGAGTCATCCACTATCCCTGTCAAAAGCATTTGAAAGTCAGGAACCGTGTGATACATATTGCTGATATAGACACTTCGTAAAGAAAGTACAGTTGTATCCAAACTAGTGTTTGCAGTTTCTTTTTGAGACTTTCACAAACAACAAATAAGGTCCATTTGGATGATGCTATAATTAGCCACTAACTAGAAGTTTCATGAAAACTATTCAAACCACAACCTTCCTCCCCTTCTAAAAATAGAACAATGAAAAAAGAACAAAACTGTGAATAGTTTGAATGCATTAGAATCCTCAATGAAGACATCAGCTTCTAATTGACTACCTTCGAAGGATTGTTGAAGCTTATTCCCAAAAGAATCAAGCATAGATTTATCAGTACTGGAGGAATCTGCACTTAAAATGGTCATCAGTCAATTTGAGGAAAACAAAAGAAGGGTGAAAGAAAGGAAAAAAGAAAAGAAAAAAGTATGTGAACTGGAGAAGATTTCACAATTCCTGAAGAACACCAAAAGCTTGTAACACCCACCTGCAGATGAGGAAGTCCTTGGGAATGCAGGAACCAGGTTTACATCCTTGTTCCTAGAGGTCAAACCAAATAAGGATGCACAAGAACTGCTGGATAGTGTTGACGCAGAACCACCGGAATCAGTATAATCACAACAGACTTCCTCTGTCTTCTTAGTACAATTTCCATGTGAAAATTCTGGCGGGTCTAAAAGTTCTGTCGACATGGAAGAACTTGAAGCTTCTGTCTCAGCTAATTTATGCTTCCAAGAAATTCCTGAAGACACTAGTTCAGATGATGAGTTAGTACTCAAAACATCCGAAAGGTTATTGCACATCGTCTTATCCTTCTGGGAGGCACTTAACCCTGCATCATTAACTGAATTAACTGGTGACATCTTAGTGGGCATGGTATTTCTATGATCTTCAGTCCTATATATTAGTGATAATCCAGATAAATATCCACTATTTAGAGAACTCAGCTCATCAGTCTCCACGTGGAGCTTCCTTGAACATTTAGGAAACCTTAAATGTTCTGAAGATGCATGTTTCTCCACCAAGCAATCCTTGTCAAAACTGAAATCCGAGGACATGCATGAACGGTAACAATCTAAAGACAAGTCAGTTTTAGTTTCATTAGAACATTGTGGGCTATTACATTCTCCCTCTTTCTGTTGGAAAGGTCTGAGAATTTCGTCATTAACTGAAGTTTCCGGTGATAACTTGGCTGGAATGGTTGACCAATAATCTTCATTTGTAGAAATAGGTAAAGATTTATACAAACTTTTGTCCTGCAGCAACTTTGAATCCTCAGCATCAGGATGCTTCTCCCTTGGATGTAATGACAAATCAGACGAACTTTCATGGCTAAGGTAACCTCTATTATCAACCACCAAATGCTCCTTTCTAACATTTGCTTCAAGACCCGTACCACATTTTATGAATTCTACATGATCATCATGTTGTGAAGACAGGTTCACTACTGCTTCATCAGCAGGTTCTGCATTATCATCAGCTACCTGTTTGACTGGAACAACTCTAAGCACAGTATTAGGAACCAAAGTTTCTGGAGAACATTTCTCTAGATCAGGAATTTTATGATCCTCATCAGCTGAAGACCTAAAAGATGAATTTTTGTCTTCCAAACCCACTGGATGCTGCTCCTGTGTCCATAATAGCTCCCACGAATTCTTACCCTCAAGAGAACTTGCAAGTTCAGAAGCATGATGCTCCTTAACTTTGGCATTCTCTTCAGCCCCTGTCTCCAACTTCTTGTACATTGTAGATTCACCGTCTTGTTCAAGAAACAAGCCAGTTTCTGATTCCTTAGAAAGATCTGTGCTATTGCATGTCATCCTGTCCATCTCCGAAGTCCTAAGACCCACACCCTGAACAAAAATTCTTGAAGAAAACTCATCCAGGATACTATTTCTCAAGTATTCTTCATTAGAAATTTCTGCTGGCCCATATAAAATTCCATCAACAGGAGACTCCAAATTATCAATAAGTAGATTATCTCTCGGACATAATGGCAATTTAGATGAATATTCTGCTCTAGGAAAATTTAGATAACTACTTGCAGAGTAATCCTCCCATCTCACATTCTCCTGAAGAACCAACTCCGTGTTACTACAGATAGCTGCATCACTAGTTTCTTTCCAGTGTGAGTCTTTTTCTGCAACTTGAGCAGAATCTGAAGCAGGAGGAGGGCTGAATTGCCCTAGATGGTCCACTTCATTGGGATCACAACCTTTAACATCAAACCTGTCCTGCTCCTTAGATGATTTCTTTTCACTGACATGTCTATGCTTTTCTTTGAAGGCTACCCTAGATTTAAAACTGGTCCTTTCGACATCATTTTGCGTTCTGGTCCCTCCATGAGCTTTTGCTTGTTTATTATCCTCCAAATAAGGGTGAAAATCATGCACCACATTAGGACATATTTTATTCACACTTTCACCAATTGTTTGCACTTCATTCTCCACATATTTACTGGTATCCTGTAAAAGCAAGCAATTCAATGATGAGAGAAAACTCCAAATAGATAATCATATGTATCACATGGAACAGGGGGACCAGAAGGATTAGAATGAGTGACAAACACGTCAATACTGATTTTAATCCTAGTATTCCAAGGAGTCCATCATTAATAAGCCAAATTATGATTATGATTTTCAGATTGAAGCAATCATAAAAATTGGGTATGACAAATAAAAACAGAAAGGGAATGAATACCTTATTCACAAAATCATCAACCTCCTGGCAGATAGCCTCAAACTTGTGGTATATGTTACCAACCCATGTTCTACCTTTGGATTTTAGATCCATAGTGCATATATGCTACCTTCCTCAAACAGGGATGAAAATTCTGTGTTTTGAAAAGATACCATCACCCAATTCAATGAGGATACAGCCTGGAAATATTTTTTCGAGATGTCATTAACACAATATAACAAGTTTGCAATTTAAAATTTTTTCTCATACAGTTACTTAGCTCCAGCAAACCTACAACCCTCAATCTGCTGTTAAAAATCTACAATCAAGGCATCTGCTTAATAATTCCCATTAGCACAGGCATGCACGGATAAAGATGCCTCAAAGATACGCTTTATACTACTTGGAAGAAGAACAAATAAGAGGGATAAAAAAGAAGTCTTTGTCAAAGTTGGGCAATAACAGTATGATGATCAACTAAATGGAATCAAGGATATCAAGAACCTGAGTTGAATTGAACCGGCCTTTATCTCATTCTATACCTATTTCAGAAATTTAACAAATTCAACTAATTTATAGTATCATCCACAATATTCAAGGAAAGCTCCAATTTTTGAACATCAATGAATAATTAACATGAAGAACCACTGAAGTACTAAAGATCGTTTAAGCTTTTAGAACCCAGAAATTACTTTATTTTATGTTTATTTTCAGCTAAATTAAGCTTTTGATCAACCTATATACTAGCACACACGATCAGCAGCCAGGCGGACATACATA